AAGCTGGTCAAAATGTGGGGCAAGGGTTGAATTACAAGTCAGCCTCTCTGCAAATTTGACTTGAATTGCAGGATGGTCAAAATTGTGGGATATAAAATTTCAAGGTACCACCTGTATCATTAGGGGCTCAGAAGTTTCAGACTGGAATTAGCCAAATTAAAAACTTGAATTTCCTATGAAAAACGTTGATGACAAAAACAAAAAATGGATGTGAAATAAATAATGATGTAAAATAAAATTTAATTCTGAGAAAAAATTATAGAATAAAATACTGTAATAACAACAATTTTTTTTTTTTAGCCTTGGAACAAATCACGTATTTCAATAATACTGGGCGACAATTTTTGTCTGATAATGGATTGCGGAATCAGCGATTCATGCTCCAGCTCACGTCATGATGCACGGGAACCGGAAACGGCCTCCAGCTTCAATGCAATAACTGGAAGCTTATTTTTATTCATTCATTCATTCATTCATTCATTTATCTTTCACTCCGCTTTTCCTTCTGTCTCTTTTTTTCCCTCATTCCTCTTCTCCTTCCATCTTTCTGATCTTTTTTCCGCCCTTTTTCTTTGGTGTGTCTCTGGTTGCTCATGATGATGGTTTCGTCCGGATGACCGAAAGTCAGTGTGAGTGGCGCAATAAAAAACATGATGACGGCGAGAATTTCATCTGTGCTTTTTTTATTCGCGGAATGTTTTTTTACTGTATATGTACAGTATCCATTTGATTAGTACATTAGGTCTAGATTTACAATAAGCAATTCGTTAAAAAAAATATAATTTGATGAAAGAAACGCGTTAAGCACGGATTTTTGCGTCAAACTGAGTGCCTTTAGAATTCGAATTCGAAGATTTAAAAAAAATGATTATTCAGGTGACGTAATGATGATGTAACAGATTAGAGGTAGACTCTCTGTAACAATTTTGTATGCAATGATTTTCTCTCGATTACAATTTTTTTCATATATGGAATTATGGGGGGGGGGGGGTGTCTTCATGTAGATGAGTCGCCATTCATATATGGAATTATGGGGGGGGGGGGGGTCTGTCTCAATTCATTTTATGAAGGCTATCCGCAATAAAATGTCACTCTTCAAGCATTAAGCATTTATTTTCTGCCAGTGACGTTCGTTGTGCCAATTCCAGTTCCTGTGCCGATTTTCCTGCCGCCATCAAGAAGGAGGAGTTTGGCGGGATCCAGGACCTGTGTCAGTGTTTCGATCAGCAGTGAATTTTTTCTGCTGCCGAGATTTATTTTCATATGGCAATTTTTTCAAATTTTGTTTAAGAAAAAATGAGTCGAAGCGTGTTTAAAATTTTGCTGCTCAGTATTCGGAAAAATATTGGAAAAACACTTATTGAAGTGACTGCAACACTCTTTTTGTATTTTCAAAAGTGCAATTTGAAATTTTGCTGCAGAGTTATGCATATATTAGTCCAGTGTATCCCCAACCTTTTTGGGTCTGCAGACCAGCAAATTGCCTTAAAATTTTTTGCAGACAGACAAATTCATCTCTAACATTTTCTGTGGACTACTGGCAACATTTTGTAAGATTTTTGTAGAATGCTTTACGGCAGGCATTAAAAAAGTTTCTGCTCTTATGAAAAAGTTAGGATCCAATAAAGCAGGTTTATTTGTGGAATTTTCTCATAAAAATTAGAAAGGTGGGCTTGAAGAAAGGTTTATCAGACTGAAATAATTAAATTTTTTTCAAGTTTAATCAAGAGAGGAGTCAACTTATGTTTTCTTTAAATGATTTCAACTGTCATTTGTTTTTCCAAGGTTTCAGATGAAGATAACAGGCTTCATTGCTACTTTTCTCAATTTATTATGCTGCAGAAAATTACCCACAGACTGACAAAAAAATTCTGCAGGCAACAGGTAGCAGAACACTATTAGTCCATGTTAATATTCATAATAATAGAATGCAGTAATTCAAGAAAGATCCCATCTGAAAAAAGCGGGCATTATGCTGTAAAAGTCTTGTTGAAGCCAAACTTTTTTTAAATTCATTGGTGCAAACCTTTTATTTTCATGGTGATTTTCTAAAAAACTTAAATCTGGATTTTATCCCGTTTTTTGGTATAAATATTTACTGCTTATGCATCAACGGAGTCCAAAATGCTATGTGATGCATAAATTAGTGTTCCAAATACAGGGAGACCCCAAAATGCGGATTTAATTGGTGCATCAAGAGTGTTCCCAAGTCAAAATGACCCTAAGTTGAGTCTTGTTTTCCCATAGACTAACATAATATAATTTTTAATTGGTGTTTTGTAGAAGAAGTATTCTTCAGAATTCCTTGAAAAAATTGTTTGCCACTTGAATTTGAATTAGTGAATAGATTTTCAACTCAATAAGAACATTTGGAGCATTGAATAGTGTGTCTCTGTACTGTACACTGAAATTTTGGCATCTACAAAAATAGCATTCACGTGAAAAAAGTAGAAGTCCCTTTATGTTGAAGGTAATTTGTTTTTAATTAGCTAAATGGATGGTAATTTGGTGAGAGAAATCCCCAAGAACTTTTCTTACATCAATTTTAGGGTTGGAGATACAGTATCTGTTTCTTGTAATTTGGCGTGAAATGTATTTGCCATTTTATCACAAAATGTACCTATGTTGAGTCAATGTCCTCGTGTTGTGCCTTATTTATTGATTTTTTCTGGGAAAATAAGTTTCCCTATGTTGAATTGTCCGCAGGTTGAGGCGTCCACATTTGGGAGGTACTGTACTAGAATAAAAACACTGGGTGGAAAATTTCTAAAGCCAAAACTGAAATCATGAGGCGATGTTCATAATGTCAAATTTACCATTATCTTTCGTAAAGGGCAGTTTTTAATTTTTTTGTTTTTTACATGGCAACATTAAGGTATAATATTACGTCATAACTAGCATTTGAAGGTTGCTTTAGTTATTAGGAAAAAAATCTATTTTTTCAAAGATTTCCAATATTTTTCTGCCATAAATTAGAAGATTTAGAGTATTTAATATTAAGCCAGCCTAGATTTTTATCTCTTAGTTAAGTGGTGTGCTGGTGTCAGATTCAACAGTCTTATGATCATAAAAAAATAAAACCGTGATTCATTACATAAATTAATGATGATCATTCCCGTGAGTCTTGATAATCACTATAATTACACACCACTGCAGAAATGATTTTCTTTTGGTTCCAAAAAGACGTTTCTCAGGAACTTCCCAAGATGAAAAATAAACCCCAGGTAAACCTTCAAGCTTTTGCACATTATTTTCCTAACACCCTTTCAAAATAATCTCGTGTCTGAGAAATAAATAAAAAATCTAATAATTTCCCAGAGAGGAGTAAAAATTGTAGGGGCTGGGAGATGAGAAAAAAAAGGCGCATTTTTATAATGGATGGAGAACGACTGACAACATGAGTGGTTTGGCCTTGTGCTCATCAGCTGATGGTCTTTTTTTTCTATATATATTTTTTTCTTTCGATACTGTATATACATATACTTTTTTTCTCTGTGGGAACAGCTGTTATACAGGAGCAGAAAGCTTTTATGCAATATTTTGGCTGGCGTAATAAGCTGTGGATTGCACAGCAATCCCAGGCGTCAGTTGCTCGGTCGCTGCGCTGCTGGTGAACACCGACTTTTTTTCAATTCCTCAGCGAGGTATTTTTTTTTATGTGTGTGTGTGAAAGAAAAATGTTGGAAAGTGGCACTCAAAAGTTCCAATAATAGTGTATTTTAAATAAAATCAGTGTGGGGGGAATTTCATGATGAAATTAGGTGCCAAAAGTAAGAGGTCTCAAGTCACTTATTGGTTCCTCATCTGCTGGTGGACAACCTGGTTTTGTTACAGTGAGTTATATCTTTTTTTTTTTTTTACAAAGAAAGCATGATACAGCTTGAATTTTGATCACTCAAGTCAAACCTCATTGTCAATTTTGTATATCAAGTCCCTTTTGAGTTGAATTTCTGTACAGATTCCTTTTATTCACTTGTGTGGAATTCTCAGTATTCCTTGGGAATTGTGTCATTTCTTTGCCATTGAATTACACAATACATTTTTATGAAAAACTAAGAAGGTATATTCAAAGTGGTGTATTTTAAAAAATCCCAGTCTGATTTTCCTCAGATATGATTTATTAAAAATTCTCTAATCCAAAGATTTTTTCCCACACCTCCTCAACTCTTACTTTATGAGGCATTTTGGCTATTATTTTCTTGACTTATAGGGAAAGAAAAATGCAATAAAAATCCAACTTGATGTTTTTGGAAGGAAGTGAAAGAACAGTTGGGCAAATGAACCCCTAGCCTCCAATATATAAGTTAAGCATCCGCTGTCGACTCATTCAAAAATCAATTTAATGCCAAGAATATCACCTTTACACAAATATCCCTTTACAATTTATCCTATAATTCTAAATACTGCATGTTTGAATTAAATATAATCTCAATTCTCCATACATATTGTTTTTTGATATGTGGGAGTTTCCAAAGTTGAACTGAGTTTCTTCAATAAGTGCTTGAATCACTCTGAAGACCAGATTCAGCATTACATTTTCAAGTTGGATATACACACTGCAAGAATCTGATTTTCATCTTCACTTTTTATGAAGCTAAAAAAACAGTGAACTTAATTTCACCACGCATGCAAACTAATTGAAGGTGATTATACAGTAATAGAGTACTTATTTCCAAATCTTTACATATCTGGTTTGATGAGGAAATTTATTTGCATAGTGCTTTTCTGGCACATTATTATATATCTTTGTAACTGAAACTTGAGAATAAGTGAAAAATGATATGTGAAATAAATGTCCTATAAATTTAATTGATGCACGCCTACAAAGGATTTCAGCACTTGGAGTTCTTTTCTAAAATGATTTTTTACAGCATACAAGTGCAGGTGGTATTTTGCAATTTGACCCTAATCTGTTCCCAAACTAGGATTGAATTGCAAAGCAGTCAATAATTTAAAGACACTTTGTGAAATTCAAAAATATCAGGGCAAAAATTCAAAAAATGTGGCCAAAGCAGGTTGACTTGTGCCAAGGTAAACTGCAAATTGCAAGTCAACCTCCCTGCAAATTTTACTTGAATTGTGGGACAGTCAAATTGTGGAAGGTCAAATTCTGAGGTACCACCTGTGTATGGTGTGGATACAATAAGATTAATTTTCATATTATGCAACATTCAAAAATGCAAATACAGTAACATTTTTTGACTGGTTGATTCAAATAAACAATTTACCACATTCTCAGCAGAATACAGCTGCATTCTGCTTGAGTAGATGATACTGTACTGTCCATCATCCAAAACATTTGAATTTTAAATTTCAGGCACAGAATGCAAGAAATTCTTTCAAAGGAAATCCTCAACTACGCATTACTCCCACGAATACCTGAATTCTACAACATGGACTCCATCATCACCAGCAGTGACCCCGACAGCGATTCCTCATGAAGAGCGTCCCAAGACGAAGCTTGCAGCGACATCTAAGAACGAAAAAGATAACAAACGGAAAGAAACTTCTTCTACGTCAATAGGGAAGTCGGTCAAAATGAAAGCGGTGCCTCGGGAACCCGAAGACTATTTCGCGTATGTGGATGATGAAGATGCCTCAAGCGCGGGATCTTCGGTTACCATCGAGGATTTTGACGAAAATGTAGATGACATCATACCAGACTTCATGAACCCGGATTTCCATGCATTAACCAAAAGAAATCTCAGTCAACTTCAAAGCATGGTGAGAACTATTGCTCAACTTTCCTGCTGGAACTTTTTTTTTCAGAAATCGAACTTGAGCATACTTTATCAAGAAAAATAATGAATATTTTATGAAGCAAAATGTCAAGGACAGTTGACATTCCTTCATAAAATATGATGCATTATATACTGCACTTTATTTACTCAATTACCCTGCAAACTCTTTTTTTGCAAGAATGAGGACTAGAAATAAAAGGTGGATAGAGCATCAAGCTGAATTGAGCGCAAAATTTCCCTGCCAATTTTCCAAAAATTGCATGTTATCCTTGTAGCACATGAAAGTTAAATCTTGAAAGAGAAACTAAGGAAATCAATTTAAATTTCATTCTCCTTTTTTTAGAAAATATTTATAATTCTATCTATTTGTCATTTATGAATATTTCAAACATTTTTACTAAAACAAATTGGGTATGAGTCTTATATATACAGTGATCAATTTTTACCTGATTTCAAAATTTGAAAGTGAGGGTGTGTTTCTTACAGAGAGCGAATTTTAAATGAGTAAGTATGTTGACAGAAGATTTTTTAATGCTGGTTTAGCAGTAGCACCATAGACATAATTTTATACAGTACTTAATTATCTTCCTGTAGCCTATTTCCAGGATTAATGAATGGTTATTCAATTATTTTGACCTTCACAATTACAGAAATGTAAAAGTTTTCTTGAAATCTTTTTTTTTCAAGGGAGAGAATCTGCATTAATATTTACTTGTTGCAATATGATCTATAAAATCAGTAAAGGTTTGATGAAGTAAAGGTTGGAAAAAATATAAAATGAAAATTTTGGAAGACTTGGAAATATTCACACAAAATCCCAGCTTTTGATGTTACACATGTCTGCTTTCTTTCACTCATCAAGAGCACTTCAATCAATTAAATTACGTTTTTCTTTAGGTATTTGTCCACTGTAATTCCAGCTTTGAATGAATCCCTTATACAGTATTCATAATGATGAATAAAATATAGTATTTAATGACTTACATTAAAATTTAATGAAGGATTTTTGTCCGCTAAACTTTATTATTGCAGGTGATGAATGCAGCACTTCACAAAAACTCGGCCATCAAGTCTTACATGAAAGAAATGGACGCCTACTCAAAAGAGGGCCAAGATGGCGGCCTTATTGTCTTGTTTGACAAACACGCCTTGGAAAATGCTGTTAAGAATCCCGGTGATCTCTTTTCAGACCAGGGATCATCCACGCAAAACAACCACAACAATGTGGATCAACCGATTCTTGAGAAGAGAAATCTTATACAATTTGCAAGAATTGTCACTGTTTACAACACTGTCAGTCCAATATTTTTCATATTTTATGGCAATTGGTGAGTATAAGAATGCTAAAAACCAATTATTTCATTAGCCCATTATATACGTACCTGCAGGAATCTTATTAGCTTAAATATTGCAACACGGTTTTATTGAGACATGTTTTTCATCCGGATGAGGATATTTGAAAAATAAATTAGCATAAATAAATCGCGGGTTTCCCAAACATACTTGTAATTTGGTAAATTTTTATCAGGTGTGGACCTTCAGGACGGGGGCCAGCTGCTGATGGAATTGATCAATGTTGTAAAGTACATGATCATTGTTATGGTGAAGTGATGGATGACTGGTGTTCCAATGGTTTGAGGAATCCATACACAGTGTTTTACAAATGGAAAGTGGCATGGAATCAACATGGTGGACGAAAAGCTGTTTGCAGTGAGTATAGTTTTATATCAGAACTTCATTTAAATAAAAACAGCATTTGTTGCTTGAAAAGCCATTGCATTGATTTTTCCCAGGAAAATGGGCTAGTACAGTAACATCTTGTTGAAAAAAAATACTGTAAAAAGAATTTATAAGTACAGTGAGACCCCAAAATGCGGACGTAATTGTTGCATCAAGAGTGTCCCTAAGTCTAAATGTCCCTAAGTCTAAATGTCCCTAAGTCAAGTCTCATTTTCCCTTAGACTTACATTATATTCTTTTTAATTGGTGTTTCATGTACAAAATACTCACCATAATTCCATGAAAACAAAAATTGTCTCCCAATTTAAAGTGATTCAATCAATGTATTTCAACACAATATGAACATTTGGGGAATTTAATACTGATACCTCATCTGTACAGTGCATAGAAGTATTGGCATTTTCTGTAAAAATAAAATTCAATTGAAAAGGAGAGACAGAAAGTCTCTCTATGCTGGAGGTTATTATTTTAAATTAGCTAAATAGATGGTAAATTGGGGAGAGAAATGCCCAAGAACTTTTCTTACATAAATTTTAGGGTTGGAAACATCTGTTTCTTGTAATTTTACCTGAAATTTATTTGCAATTTTATCACAAAATGTCCCTATGTCGAGTCAATGTCCTCATGGTGGGACTTTTTGTGATTTTTTCATGGTAAAATAAGTGTCCCTAGGTTGAATCGTCCGCAGGCCAAGGCGTCCGCATGTGGGGTCTCTATAACTATAGCCCCAGCAGAAAGCCCATGAATTCAAATTAAAATAAGCTTGCTATAACAAACTTCCCAATTCCAGTTCACTAAAAGGCCATCACAACAGCTGCCAGTAAAAAAGATTTAAGTATGACAAACTTTTTAAAAAGCCCATCAGAAAGTCCATAGAGTACATGTTGAAACAATCTTATTATAACAAGCTTTCCAATTCCAGTACAGTAAAATCTAGCCAGAACAAATACCATTACAACACATTTTTTGAGATAACGAACTTTTTCTCAAGTCCCAGCAGAAACCCCAAAGGTTAAATGTTCAAACAAAAACTTGGGATAACAAACTTCAAAATTCAAGACCAACACATTTTTTTGAGAAAGGTTGAATAGATTCCTCAGGGAGATATTTCCTGACTAAGGCAGGCAAAGTCAAAAATTTACAATTCCAAATATGATTTAATGGTTTTGGGTTTAAGCTTTAATCAATGCCAAACATGCTTTCAATGGGTTTCACACATAATCCTCCCAGAATGAAGAGATTGTTACAACTGATGGGATGCATGATTAAACCTTTTTTTAAAAAGATATTTCAGTTTTACAATCCAAAAAAAATCTGAGAATCTCAGAAAAGCATTAGGCAGGTCTGATGTGAACATTTTTCCCAGTTCTTAATTCTGAAAATTCCTGTATCATTATAACAAATTATTCAGTATAACAAACGTTTTCTGATGTCCCCAAGAAGCTGTTTTAACAATATTTTATGGCATATCCAATTTGGCCATTATCTGAGGTGATTTTTTAATTTCTGACTTTCATTGGTATTCTTTTCAGTGCCTGGAGACCCATGTGCCAAACGGACATGTATTTGCGATCAAGTAGCAGCAGAGTGTTTTGGGAAGAACGTTTTCAACCGCCGCCATGTTGGTCAAAGACTTTTTGGATGAAGACACAGAGTCCCACACCTACACACACACACACTGCAGCTCAGCATCAATTTGCTCTGTGATAGAAAAGAAAGTGCTCTCCTCATCAATTGTTTTTTTAATTCAGGGAAAGTTTGTGTATTATTTTGCGATTGTCTATTTTTTGTGAGTTCAAATGAACCAGAACAGTATTGAAAGTATTTTGCTTTATATACAGTACAATGCCTGCATTTGAAATTA